TGTTGCGCAGAGTAGAGTCGAGTTGGAACTGATTATTATATCTAAAGTTTTGTAACGTATTATCATGCATTTACACATATTAAGTCCCTTATAACGCTTTTAAACTAATTAAGGGCCAACCCACACGGACCACAACCACGCGACAACCACAACCACACCACAACCATTTATTGTTAGTTTTGCCAAACCAGGAGATGAAAGTCTAATGATTCAAAGGTAATTAGAATTATTGAAGATAGAATTTTGGCTCCCTCGGAAAGAGTTTCTTTCGAAACTTTATTATTGCAGACAATAAAGAAAAGTGACTCGACAATAAAATTGAAAAAAACTAAAATTGCTAGGGGGTGTGAAATAATAACGCGAGAACAGTTTATAGAAAAAAAAAACGATACGAAGAAAAAATAAAGCAAGAAAAGGAAAGAACTGCCATAAAAATCCCCAAAACAAAAAATATAAAAAAAAATTGGACCAAAATCGAAAAAGAAATTGTATAACATTGCAACAACAAGATGAGACTGATGAAAGCAAAGATATTAAAAACAAACCTTGTAGTAAGAGCTTATCTAAGCAAAAACCTAATAAAAATGTTAAAAAGAAAGCTAAGAAACAAAAGAAGTGTTTTGATTATGACGAAGAATCTGAAAGTGAATTAGATATTAGTTTTGCTGAAGTTTCCGGTTCTGCTGAACTTTCTGATGAAGATTTTGATACCTATCGTGAAAACTTTTTAGCGGAAATAAAAAGTGATGATAACTTTCTCGAAGATTTGTTGCAAGCCACAACAGAAGAAAAAGAAAATGACAAATCTTACGTAAATAATGATGTTGACACTACAAATATTGAACAATTTGAACCGAATTTAAACAAAAAGAACCTAGAAGTTAGTGATTGGATACTAGTAAGATTCACAACAAAAAAGTCTGTGAAGTATTTTGTGGGAACCATCATTTCTATTAATGACAATAACATTCCTAACGTCAAATTTTTAAGAAAAATAAAAAATAGTAAATTTGTTTCCTTTCATTATCCAGACGTGGAGGATATATCAGAAGTAAAAAATGATGATGATATCATAATGTTCCTTGAAAAGCCTGATATATCTCGAAGAGGGCATATTACTTTCAAAGAAAATTTTAAAATGTATAACATTCAGTGATTGTCAAATTAATTTAGTAATTAAGAAGACCTGAGTGAGAGTGACAATATCTATAAAATTGCATGTGATCTCATTACCTGATTATTGTGATAACAATGATAATGAAACTAATATTAATTAATAATAATGTTTGTTAAGGTACTTCACACCTAGCGAATGTTACACAATTAAAGTCAAATTTTTACATACAACATTCAACATACAATAGGTATGTAAGATTACACTATTTAAAAAACTGATTATTAAGAATTTAGTAATGATGACAGTATTAACTAAATAAAACATCTCATACTTTTTTTGTATTCGCTTTTTTATTTTCTATTAGAACTCGTATTTTTATTATACACTATTTACCTAATTTCAATGTGTTTGATTTTTTTTTTCTATTTATAAATGCTAGGTGTATAAAAGTGGAACTTGTTTGCAAATTATGTCAATGGCAACTTTTTTTTCTCACAAGTAATGAGAAAAAAATCGTTTGATACCTCTGGAATTTAGGATGGGGCGAATGCGTCTACCACTTAAAGTATAAATTAGACGCCATAGCCCCAAATTTTTTTGTTCGACTTAATAGGAGAGACCAAGCCAAGAATATCGCTTATAAAATGATAACTAGCTATATCATGAGCGATCTAATATATTTTTTCGATTAATTGTGTTACGAAGGCTTCCTATTATGTGGTACTTGCTAAAGACACCTTTGCCCCCCCTGGGGCTTTTGCGTCTAAAAATCTGAACTTGTAAAGAATGGGTGTTTTCAAGCAAGGGTTTTAAAAATATCACGAAATAATATTTAAATATAAAATTTTATTAAATAATGTGTTATATGTTTTAATTCACATTGTTTTAAATTATACAACTAAATTAATATGATCAGTTAAAAATGCCGCTTAAAGTATCGTGACGCATTAGCCCCGGTTGACCTTATCTATGGAAATAGCACGACGAAATATTCTAAATCTAGAGGATAGAATTCCGAATGCATTTTCCACCACCCTTCTAGCTCTTGAGAGCCTGTAATTAAATATTCGCTTATCGTGAGCTATGTTCTTTAGAGGAAATGGTTTCATAATGTTTTTATCAAGCGCGAATGCACTGTCTCCTACAAAAACGTAAGGTGCAGTGATTTTTGAATTTGTTAACGTTGACGGACTTGGTAAATTTAACCCATCTTCCATCAACTTCTCATAGAATTTAGTCTTTTGCAGCACGGAACTATCTGAAACACATCCGTTTGTACCCACGTGAATGTATATAAATTCATAATTAGCGTTTACTACTGCTAACAGAATAACACTAAAAAATTTCTTATAATTATAAAAAAGTGATCCACTGTCTGGCGGCTTTTAATTGCAATATGTTTTCCGTCGATTGCGCTTACGCAATGATTGAAATTCCATTTGCTTTCAAAATCCGAGCTCACTTCTATCCATTCCTCTGTCGTCGATGGCATCTGAAATTAATTTCATTTTATTTTATTTGCAGATTACTGGAAATGAAACACAAATCGATGGTTTCGCAGTTCCACCCACTAAAATAAAGAAAAAAAAAACAGGACCTCTATACGAAGCAGTCTCAAATTCTAGATCAGGCTCAAAAAATATTAACAGGTAGTGAAGATAATGACTGGGAAGTAATCAGGAAATCAATTGGACTTCAACTCAAAGTTCTAACTGAAGAACAATCAGCCATTGCGCAAAAAATAATATCAGATGCTCTCTTCTATGCCAAAATGAAAAAACTAACAATAAATTCTCAAATAACTTTGGAACCTACATATCTACCCTCTCCATCTCCACAACCGCACTTACCGCACAAGTCACCATCCCATCAGTACACAATCACTCCATCACCTTCTCTCTCCACAACCGCATCAGTCATCATCCCATTGGTACACAATCATTCCATCATCCTCTCATTCTTCACAGGCGCACCATCCATCTTCCACAATGCAATCATACACTTCTTCATATCAAACATCGACATTTACTAGTAGTGATTCAGACCATATTTCTTCAAATTCATTGCCATTGTGTAATGCAACAGAAACAGTTATTAACGAAGAATGTACATATTCTTTGGAACCTCCAGTAATTAGCATTCCATCACCGCCCCATTCCTCAACATCTAATTACATGCAGGGAGCTTTAAAAGATTTTATTATTTTTACTAAAAAATAAGTACTACAATCATTCTAAGCACAATGAATATCGGTAGGTAATAATTATGATTAATAAAAAAGTAACAATAATAAATAAATACAAATAATTACGTAAAAGGAAATTTCATTTCATACCTTTATGTAGTCCTTTAAGCATTTATATATTGCTATACAGGTTTCTGGTATTATTTGTGAGAGTAACTGAGGAGATATAGCTGTAATAGGTATTGAACATCAAGTCAGTATAGCTACAACCAGAAGAAAGGAATCTCAAAGTCGCTATTAATCTTTCTTCAGCACTTACTGCTTCTCGCAGAATAGTATTTTGCTTTTGGATAAATGGGCGTACCATACTCAGTAATTGAGAAAAACACTCTTCGTTCATCCTTAAATACGTCCGAAAATGTTTAGACCTTAAAACCTTAATCATTGTTAGAGGTGTAAACCTTTTTCTCTGTTTGTAAATTTCTTCAGCCCATAAGCTTCTCTTTTTCCTCCTTTTTCGTGTATCCACGACGGTACTTGATATTGCTACTCCTATCACAATCTTTTGTATTTTAGACAACGTAGGAGCCATGTGAATCACGTCTGCACAGAGTAACCGCTAAAAGCCGATCTGATTTTAAGGAAGCACATCGGAAAGTGTGTAGAGAATGACTCCGATTTAGGATTTCCGATAAATAGGATAGGATCAGAAGGTGTGGATCATGCTTAACTCGTAGCTCGTCTTGGCTCGTACGTGTGGCAGCACTGCGAACCGCGAGCCGCCATTTTGTTTCGCCAGTCCGTGGACGCGCACGCTTGTTTAAATTGCAATTTTCGTTAATTTTGATTCAGAAATTTCTCAAAATGTGTGATTTTCGAACTTATTCGCATGAAATGCTAACCGAATTTATAGAAGCTTTCCGAAATAACCCTTGTCTTTGAAAAATTAGAAGCAACGACTACAAAGACAAAAATTTGAAGCTTCAAGCATACAATAATTTATTAGAAATTATACGGAAGGTAGAAAGAGATGCTACGATTGAGAACGTCAAGAAAAAAATTAATTCATTAAGGGCTGGGTTCCGAAAAGAACATAAAAAAGTGCAAGATAGCAAGAAGACAGGTTCAGAAACTGACCAGGTATACCGTAAATGCGTACAACATGAGACTCGAAGGTAAACTGAGACTAAACTTCCATGGCATATATTATTACATGTAGTATCATTATTATTTTGGCAACACTGACAGTTCAGTTTCAAATTTGTTGTGTGAGGTTCCATACTTGCTGTCGTGAAGGATTTTTTTACCAGGTAAGTAGTATTTTTTGAGAAATAGACATTAATTTGTTTGTGAAATATATTGTTGTACTACATATACCTCAGAACTCTGATAATTGACTAATAAGTACTGTGATTTAAATCGATTAATCAATCCCATCTTGTGAAGCATGTTCCTATAGACAAAAAAAAAACTCCCATGTTTTAGACTATTTGTTAAATGTTGCCAGAATAAATTTAAAATTTCCTCAAACTGGACGCATTTTATTTTTATGATGAAAAATTGAGACCATGTCTCAAATTAGGTGCTTATGAGTCAAATTAGGTGCATATGTCTCAAATTTTATTCAAATCGTTAGTGGTTCAATTTCAAGTAATTATGATAATTATTGATGATACATTTTTTTTTGTTTCAGTAATTATGTCTTCGCGAAGACGAAGAGTTCTCGAGGCGAAACCCTACCGAAATTATAGTGAAGACACTTTGAAAGCTGCTATGGCAGCAGTTGACACTGGCATGACTTTGAGGGAAGCGGAAGAAAAATTTAAAATACCTCGAGCAACTTTAAATAGAAAACACCGAAGGCTACAATTAAACAAAGTCGGCCGTCCTAAAGTTTTCAGTGAAGCTCTGGAGGAAGTTTTTGTGCAATCAATCATTACAGCTGCTGCTTGGGGATATCCACTATCAGGTTTAGACCTATCTTTACTCGTGAAATCACATCTAGATAGACTAGGTCTAAATGAGACACGTTTCAAAGGTAACTTACCGGGACGATATTGGCTGGAAGGTTTTCTACGGCGCCATAAAAGCACTTTATCTGTAAGGCTGTCAGAAAATATTAAACGCCAAAGAGCTGGAGTTACGCAGGAGACATTAAAATCATACTTCCAAGAATTAAAAACCACCTTGGAGGATGTAGATCCGGCCGCAATAGTAAATTTTGACGAGACTAATATGTCTGATGACCCGGGACGCCAGAAAGTGTTGGTACGTCGAGGTATCAAGCATGCTCATAAAATCATTGACTCATCAAAATCAAGTACCTCCGTAATGTTTGCTGGGACAGCGTCAGGTGTTCTGCTTCCACCGTACCTCGTTTATAAAGCGGAACATTTATATAATACTTGGACGGAAGGAGGACCTCCAAATACAGTTTACAACCGATCTCGGAGTGGATGGTTTGACACTACAATATTTGAGGATTGGTTTTTGAAGTTCATTATTCCTTATGTTGAATCGTTTAATGGCAGAGGACCCGTGGTTGTAATTGGTGACAATCTGAGCAGTCATTTTTCATTAGATGTGATACAAAAGTGTACTGACTATAATATTAAATTTGTTTGTTTACCGGCAAATAGTACGGGGTTGTGCCAACCCCTCGATGTAGCAGTGTTTCGACCATTAAAAATAAAATGGAGGTCTGTTCTGCTGTCTTGGAAGGAAAAAAATAGAGGAGTAATGCCGAAGCATGTTTTTCCGAGGCTTTTGAAGCAAACTCTGGATAATATAGAAAATATGAGAAAAAATTTGAAGTCCGGATTTGAAGCAGCTGGGATATATCCAATTAATGAAAAAAGAGTCTTAGATAGATTGCCTACACAGGAAGATCCAGAAATCCATAATAATGCATCTCAGCAATGGTTAGAAACGTTTAAAATGTATCTCGAAGATATGCGAACAAAAGAATGCAGCACAGCCCCGAAGAATAAAAGGTGGCAGTTATTCCAGGTAAAGGTGTAACAGTGGAGGACTTATCCGAATCATTAAAGACTAAGACGAAACGTAATAAAACGAAAAAACAAAAAAAAGATCGTCGATGATGAAAGCACTTCCTGCAGTGATTTAGAAGAATGGAGGGAAGCAGTTTTGAATACTGCAAACTCATCATCCGATGACAATAATGAGTTCGACACAGTGTTTTTTGATGATGTTCATGACATGTTTCCTGATGATGATGAAAGATCGGCGTCACCACGTATAACTAACATCCCCAATAATGAGAACCAAGAAAATGAAGATCCACTCAATGTAGAGCAATCGGTCTATACTGACGAACAATTTAAAGTTTCTGTACCTAGTGATGGTGGTGCTGGTTGCTCTAAAGATATCGATACAGAAATTGTAAATAATTCGGAGATTTCACCAGATTCTTTTGTTGTTGTCGAATTACTCTACAATGAGAATACGAAAAAACAAACTGAAAAGAAGTTTATTGCTCAAGTTACGAACATGGTTAGCGACGGAAAAGTGACCTGTCGCTTCATGAGATGTTTTTCAGCTACAAAAGGTATTTACATATTTCCAGCAGTGGATGACATGATGACAATTGACACTTCTCGAATAATAAATACAATTAAGCCCACTCAAGTGAAAAGGGGAAAATACATTTTTAATATTAATATTTAATTATAAGACTAATAAAATTGTGTAAAATAATATTTTTTTGTGCGCACTTCAAAGCGTAGGTATGCCTAGGTATAGCCTATGTATCGCAATAAAACGTTCCTAATAGCTTAGACTCCAATTTTGATCTCAATGTTTAAATTTTATTATAAGTTGCAAATGTTATTAATTTACTTAGGTTAATTTGAGACATGTGGGCAAATTGAGATCTCAAATTACCGTCGGTCTCAAAATCGAGATTTATGTTGATTTATTTTTTGACGATTTATGAAGAAGTTTGTTTTTTGTTTTTGATTTTATATAATTTTTATTTGATTTTTGAAGAACTAGTAAAAGATCTGGTAAGATTTGGAGATAATATTTTGTTTTATTTAATACCTCTAGTTATAAATGATTTATTATTGTTTTAATTTGCGCAAATTCAATATTTTGTTATTTTTTAACGTCTCAATTAACAAACATTGAAATTCTACATGGGAAACCATGACTTTTATAAGGTGTCTTATGTTTACCGCATGTTGCAGGTAAATTGAGACAAGACGAAATAAATATATATAAAAAAACTACATTGATTAGCTCAATATTGCAATATGCTCCTATTACCTTAGATAGAGACTCATGTTCTAGTAAAATTTCAAACCATAATTATTAAGAATTACACCTTATACTGTGAATTGAAATTTAAACCTGTCTCATGTTGTATGCATTTACGGTACGTGCCAAAATTATGGTATTACAGTCAGCTTGAATTTCTCAAAGATCAAGGCCAAGGTAAGTTTAATTATTTATTAAAGAATTTCTCTATACACTATTATATTATACGTGCGTATTCTTTGTTATGCCTGTGCCTAAATTAGGTAGGTACCTAAAATAGAGTACTTTGTTTCATTACTATAATGACATTGTGATGTTGAACATTAAAACCAAAAGTAAATTTAGAGGGTTTTTATTTAATTACAGGTGAACAATCAACTGACAATATAGACAGCAGCGAACAGGAGACAGCTAATGATAATGAAAATACATTTGATGCTGAACATAGTGAAAATGATACCCAGGTAAAAATACTATTATTATATCATTCTTTGTTGCCATGACACTGCACCACTAGTATTAAAGTAGGTTTCATACTTTTCTCTGATAATTTTTGCATTTTGAGTGGGGTTACGACTATGTGTTTGTTGTAGTGACTGTAATTCTCCATTTTGTGGTCTCAGCCCCAATTCAATAGTTCAATTTTCGTGATTTTCACTATGTAAGTGCTGATGTGGACTGTAAGCTTGTCTTAATTTTTTCCTTAAAAAATTGTGCAATACACAACATGCCAAAACTATTTTGTTAATATTGTGCACACTGGTATTTATAGGCGATCGAAAAATGTGGAATCTTGCCGCCAGAATTCCAAAAACATTTTCTATAATTCTTCTAGCCCTGCATACTCTATAATTGTATATCTTCTTACTTGAGCTAGCCTGTGATTGCCTTTGTGGGTACGGTTTCATAAAATCTGTCCTCAAAGCAAAAGCCACGTCGCCAATAAATACATAAGGCAATTCTTCTGAATGACCGCTTGGTTTTCTGGGGCTAGGAAGATTTAAGCGCTTGGAATTCAATCTTTGAAAGAATGTAGTTTTTTGTAATACACCTCCATCAGAAATACGTCCATTTGTTCCAATATCTACATAAATAAATTCATAATTTGCATTTGCAATTCCCATAAGTACAATACTGTGATACCCTTTATAATTAAAAAAATGTGAGCCGGCTCCGGCAGGAGGGACTATAGCTAAATGTTTCCCATCGACGGCTCCTAAACAATTTGGAAATTGCCATGTACGCTCAAACTCTTCAGCAATTGCTAGCCATTCTTCTTCTGAACTCGGGAACTGTAACAAAAAAAAACCATAATTCAGTATAAATGATATCATTTTTATTTACAGAGTACCATTTGCAACGTGTCATCACCTGTGACACCTGCAACATCTGTTGCTTCATCTGCACGTGGTAAGCGACACGGCAATGCCGCCATTGAAGACACAATATCGTTAATAGGTAAAAGATTACAAAACCCAGATGATGAATATGATGCTATAGGAAAAAATGTCGCAATTAAACTCCGCAACATGACTGCTATTCAACAAGGCATAGCTGAAAAGCTCATCAATGAAGTTATTTTTTTGGGACGGTTTGAAAAATTAACATTCAATACAAGTATACATAATCCAGTTCCAGTCCAGGTACCCCAAAGACCATTGATACACATGCCAGCTGTTCCAGTCCAGCTGCAAGAAACACAAGCATTTAACTTGACACAAGACTCGCAAACTATTAGTATCCCGGACACCCTGGTTGAATATTTAAACTTTAATAATAATAACTAAAAATAAATAAAATAGTACGTTACATTTGTATATGTTCAAGAGTAAATTTATTTGTTAAGCATTAACGTTAATGTGCCATTGCAAAATAAAGTCTGATTATTTGTACTGAGTTATTTTGTTTATAAAGTATGTAATAAATGATACATACCTTCAAATATGTTTTCAGTGCAGAGTAGATTGCGTCACATGTCTCAGGAATTATGTACCCCATTGACTGTCTTGATATCGCTGACGAATACATTACATCTTTATATGTTCCACCAGTTATCAAAAATCGTAATGTTGCACTTAAACGTTCATGCGGTGAAATAGCTTCTCTCATGCAAGTATCCTGTTTAGCTATAATTGGTGTGACTAAACACAAAAGGTCTTCATACACAGGCTCAGGCATTCTGAAATAATTCTGGAAATCTTCCTTCTCTTCACACTCTCTTACTAAATTCACATGTGATAAACGCTCTCTTTTTGTAAGCCAGTTCTTAACCCACACTTTTCGCCTTCGTCTATTGTTTTTAGTTTTTGAAATGTAATACGATATAATTCCTAAATAACACAAAGCTTCTTCAGTGGACGACATCGCGATACGGTATGAGTAAGTTGGCGCGTGTGTCGCCGACGTCGAGCCAAGTAAGTTCGCGATCTTAAAAACCGCCTACTTTAAGTTCGTACGTCTATCACCCACTTTAGAATGTCAAAAGTGCCACTTGTCTACGCATTCCTAATGGCTCCAGTACACGTTGGCCGAGCGCGCTCGCCGAGTGCGTTCGGCCAACGTGTACTGGGCCGTTTTGTGTGTATTTGGCGTTTGCGGCCAACACTCGCCGACAAGCCGTATAGTGTCGGTTTTCCGTGCACAAATCAAAGAAATTTGGCGCAAGCCGCAAACAGTGTTCACACGTTGGCCGAGTGTTCAGTTCATAGTTACGCGTCGGAATAGACTGTAGTGTCGGCTTAATAAAATTGTTTCACGAAAATGGCGACATGCACTAGTGAGGAAATATTTAGGTTCATTGATTCTTATCACAATGAGACTGTTATGTGGAACCCCAAACTTGCCTAACTGTATTAAATAATACATGTTTAGTAGCGATTTCAGAGTACCTACCTGATGATGAATATTATTATAAATTATCTCTGAGTCTATGTTGTTCAGGGATAATGTAGCTTAGGGGCTTCTTTTAGGCTATCTTTAATTTTGAAAAAACGCCCAGCCAAGCAGGCACGGGTCAGCCAATAGATCCTATAAGGGTTTCTTTTTTCCTTTTGAGGTCGAAACCTTAAAAAGGACAAACTGGGATTATAGTTTTATGTGTAGTGTATATACATATAGAATACTGAGCATCCACCATCTTCTTTTGCGCCATCTTTTTTTAATCACTCTTCTCTGGTGCACATCTAAATAAAATTTGAAAGCGCTGTACAAGTATATTGCCGCAGCCGCGATCGCCCTAACGTCCATCATCGTCTAGCTACCCACGCAGAATGAAACACGCCAACGTGTGAACGGCACCACGAAAATCGGCCAAAGCGCGCTCGGCCAACGTGTACTGGAGCCATAAGAAAATATCGTTCGTGTTGTTCGTGTCGCAAATCGTTGCAAAGCCGCCGAAAGGTGCTCTTATTCAAACGAAAATCTTCAACAAACAGTAACTCAGGCATATCTTCCACACTTTCCATTGTTTGCCGGTAATTGTATCTTTTTTGACGCCTCAACCACACACTTTCATTATGTGCAGCCCTTAGTAAACGCAACGTATGCATTTTTATCAAAAAACCACGAAATATAAGAAACAAGCAATAATTGATGCAAACAACACCAACAGCTGACTAACAATCAGCCATGTTAGTTTGCTTTTCTAAAGGGTTCAAGTGTTCGCCAAGTTGTCGAATGAACGTTTCGACATCTAGCGATTTAGAATGTCAAAAGTGCCACTTGTCTACGCATTCCTAAGATAATATCGTTCGTGTTGTTCGTTTTCTTTATCGCTTCGTTAGGCAGTTTGACATTGTCTAGCAATTAGCGATCGAAAACGGTCGATCACGTGATCTTTCGAAAGCATATGTCAATTCCATACATTTTGGAGTTCTCTAACTTCGTTATCGTTACTGAAAATGTGACTTTGTCTAGGCCCCCTGACTCACTCCGGACCTAGTAAAATAATATTCTGACCTATGCCCCGCATATTCTACATACTGCTGTCTGTCCCGCATGTAGTTAGCAAAAAAGGTTAGTAAATGGGGAGTAAAACCTAAAGCTGCCAGTTTTGTGAGCAGCATATCATTATACACTAGGTCGAAAGTTTTTTTGTAGTCAAAAAAAGCTAGATCTACCTGTCCTCCAGCATCCACTTCAGGTACAATATAATTCATGTGATTAATTAGTTTGCTAGTGGTGCTCCTGGTGGGTCTGAAGCCATGTTGCTTATCTGAAAACTGTACGTTAACCTGCGAGAGGATGCTCTTGTGTACTGCAGCCTCCAGTACTTTAGCTGGTGTCGAAAGCACAGCAACCGGCCTGTATTGGTCCACGTTCGATGCTGATTTTACTTTGGGTACCAGGATGACCTTGATTGTTTTCCATCTTTCTGGAAACACAGCCTCCGCCAGGCACTGATTAAAGATGTAGAGAAGTGGCCTACTAAGTACTAGACGGCAGTCTTTAAAAATAAAGGGCGGTATGCCATCGGGTCCCGTTGACTTTTTTGGCTTGAGTTTCTGTAGAGCGTAAAGTACTTCATCAAGCTTTAGTTGGTCTAAGTGTACCCTAGCTGCTCCATTTTCACCACTAGCCTGTTTCACTGCCGTCTCCACGTCCAGCTTGGGCATCTTGGGGCTAAAAACAGAATAAAAATATTGCGCAAACTCAGTAGCACACTGCTCACTAGTAAGTACCTTACCATCTTTTAAAATATTGTGTGGATTTCTGCTGTCCTTTTTTGAGTTAATGTAAGCCCAAAACGCTTTTGGATTTTCCTGGAACTCACTCTGCATCCGGTCTTTATAATTTTTGTATGCGGAGTTTATCAAACATTTTACTTTCGCCCTACATTTAGCAAACGCCTTATAATCAGCCTCTGATTTGCTACTCTTAAACTGCCTATGAAGCCTAGCCTTTAATTGTACGTTGCGAATAATGTCTATTGTGTACCACTCGAGGTAACTGTACTCCGAGTTTACAAGTCTTCGCTTTTTTCTTGGAACGCAGTCATTCATAACCGTGTTTAAAACCTCATAAAAATAATCTAGACTACTATTTACATCTAACCTATACATTGGCGTCCAGTCTATAGCCTCTATTAAAAATACATTAAAGAAGTTTGCTTTGTAAAAGTTCCATCCTGTGTGCGTGTGAGTACTCCCCTCAGACTCCTATCGGCGGCGTAGGCGCGGGCAGCCCGCCGTGGGGCGCTCGCCCCCGCTGTGGCAGCACAGTAGTGAGCGGCGGATGATGTGGGTCAGGTGGCACTATCGGCTCAGCCGCGCGCACCTCCAACCCGTCCCCCACTGAACGCGTATTCAAAACAAGAACTAATTGGCGTTCATTGCAATTTCCTATTTTGTTGTACTGGGTGAATTTACAATATGTGCTAAAGTACTCAAAATAATTACGTACATTTGTTGAGCTCGAGTATAAATTAAAATCGCCTATCACTATTAGATCATTATAATCGTCATGATGATTTTCGATTATACTAAATAACAACATGTATTAATTATCACTACAACTCGGTGGAATGTATACTACACACAACACAAACATGAACTTATTTTGTAAATAAACCGCAGCGCTAACCGGTTCAAATGCCTGGTCTTGAATACGTACATCGTTCGGTGTATTTAGTTGCCGAAGTTCGTACCGCGATGTAGCCACTAAGCACGCGCCCCCTTGCTTGCGCCCGTCTTCACGATCACACCGAAGTATCTTGTATCCAGGTGGGATGAGTTCTGAATCATAGATAGAATTATTGCATCCTGTTTCCGTTATAGCAAAAAAATCATAACTATAGGAAGAAACTCCCACATAAAATTCGAGTAATTTTGTTCTCAATCCTCTCACATTCTGATAGTATATCTCCAGAGACTTGAGTGATTTCTTATTACTTGTTGGGTGGTTTGCGAAACTATACCCATTCACAGAATTCAATGTTAACTGCCCAACTTTCTGGTTTACATAGTATCTCATATGAACTTTCTGGAACTTCTATTATAAATGACGCATAGTCTCTTTCCGTTTTATGTTTAATTTTTTTCACTGTTATTTCCGTCTCTTTTTCACATATCCTCTTTACATGTCCTTCTAAACTTTCTAGTGTGGTATCCTTTTTTAGGCGCCAAACTTTAAAAAAGTTTTTCCTTTCAGTGCCTTAAATATTTCCTATACTAGTATTTCCTCCTCTTATGACTTGCTTTCCAGGATATTTATTTTTCTTTTTCTGTACAGTAATCCATGGTCCTTCCTTTTTGCTAGTTTCCATCCGAAGTTCTATAGTATCTGTCGCTAATTGTTCCTTATCAAAACAATCCGTAGTGGTTTCTATAATACACGCTGGTTTCGCGGCCACACACGCCACTACACTCTTATCTTTGTTCACAGACAGATTTTTACTTATTACCTGCTTTTTGTTTTGTGTGAGTACATTTGAAAATGACATAGTCAACTTCCTGATTTCTTTCGCCGTATCATTTATTTCTTTTGTAGGCTGATTTTTGTCCAAACAATTCTGTAATTGCTCATTTTTTTGCACCCATTTTTTTATTTGCGCTTCTAATTCATCGACTTTGCTCGCCTTTTGCTCGTAACTAATATAAATAACACATGTGACGATTAAAAAAATCTACGAATTTAAAATTTAGAATTACTCTATTCCAATCAATTTTATTACAAACATATTATACAAAAATCGTATTATATTATTGGAACTAAATATATTATAAATATTTATAAACGAAATATATAACAAATAAACATATTATAGGCATAACCAAAAAAGTTATATAAAATTATTTGCAATATACATTGCCCCATGAAGGAATTACTGACTCTTTTGAGTCGAGTAACTGGTAAAACTAACTTGTGCTTGTTCCTGGTATTTATAGAATGTAAATCACTCTTTCAAATAAAATATTATAAGTAGGTAACCAAAAAACTATGTGTGTAATCGAATCTTTGTTAGGGAACCGAAAAATTGTTGACATAATATCAATGTTAAAATATTTAAGACGTGATGATGGTAATTGATGACGGTATCTTAAAACTATAGGTCTTAACATTAATATGAAATTATCGAAGAAAATGATGAGCTAGATTTTTTTTTTTACCATTAGTAGGAAAACCAAAAATGATTAGAAGAGAATACAATCATTTTAGATGCATATAGATAACAAAAATAC